AGGGTCGAGCTTGGGTTAGGGATGGGAAGGGTTGAGCCATCCCTGGAGGAATGTTGATGGAGGAAGAGGTGGGCGTTGAACGTTGAACGTCTAGAATTGAATGAGGACGGAGATGGGGGTGGAGGGTAGCTCTGGATGGTGCTTCGCCTTCCTCGCGTGTTTTGCGCCAGAGAAAGACGAAGATGTCGACGAGGGGAGTAGGGAGAGGGAGGCAGGTGAGACCGGGCTGGGTTTGGACGGCTGTTGATGGGGAGTGGGGTGGATGTCGATAACAGGGATTTTCTGTTGATGCTCGATTTTGATTAGGCTTCTCACCCATCGTTTCGATTCATTTCACTTCGCAAGGTTCGTTTTTGGTCGCTGGAGGGTCCTGCTATTCAAACTGTTAGATACGACTCGAAGAGCTATAGTGCTGAGGAAATAGAAAGTCTTACAGCGAAAGTGTTTGGGGGAAATTGTGATCTTGTTCGAACGAACTGGACATTCCCTGAAAATTGTGCCAAACCCATACTGCAGCATGCTGCAAGGGGACTGGATAATGTTGGATTTCGACCCAGAACGCTCGCCGCAGCCGAGAGGTGCGAAGACAAGTGAGCTGGCATGAAAGTGCAATCTTGCGGGGGTTGGTCGCAAGAGTTGGCTCAGTAGTGCGAGTTGACGTTGGTCTGCGTCGGTATTTGAGAGCACATTTTTGGAGCAGTGAGTTTCGTCACTGATTGGAATTCCGACAACGAATTCTCACAACTCATCTCCAATTGATCTCACCTCTTCTTCATCAACCACGACGATACCGCCCAACCTATCGACGTCTTTAGTCTTTCAAACTTTCATATTACAACACATCATTTCACTCATGGAATCTTCGTCATCAGCCACCTTCCTGCCATACGCTATCGGAACCACCTTCTCTGGAAGTGCAAAGGTTTTTAACGCCGGCCGCGACATCAATTTTTATGGCCAATCTGCCGCAGGTATGTCAGGTTTTATATGATTCGCCAATACTATCAAATGGTTCATGGCATCTAGGTCTTCCGGGCTTGCTTAGGCCTGTCAGCGGCGCCACCCATACTTAGTGTTGTTGGCAACTGCTCGCCAGCTCGCCACGCCGGCTTTCGCCACCTGGCGAATCAAAAAGTCAAAAAAGGGGTGGCGAGACCTGGCGAAGTCTCTCATGATTTTGGATAATAACAGACGTTTATGGGTGCATAAAATATCATCTACGGTTCTCAAATTCCAACTGCTGGCCAAAGTAAGGAAGGGCACCTAAATTTCCGTTGAAAACCAATTATTGTTCCTTATTTAGACGTTCCGATCCGTGATTCCATACGATTTTGATCTCGACAACTTATGCAGACCTTGTGCAGACCCAAAGCCCTCAACAGTGACGGAAAAATGATTGTCATAGCTGAGAAAAAATTCAAAGATGATAATAGGTTGTTACTTTGGCACAAACCATAGAAATTCAATTTTTTTCATTCGCCAAGTTCCCACGGTACTCGCCTTGCCAGGCCGGCGAGTGGCGAATGCTTTCGGAGGTTTTGCCATCGACACTACCCATACTCGTGCGGGTCACGTTGCTCGATGTGATCCTGGAACCCGCCTAAAGGTCATCGCTCAGATCGAACGGTGGCTGAACGGCTCTGACAAGCGAGCTATCTGCTGGCTCAGTGGACCAGCTGGCTATGGCAAGTCAGCAGTGGCTCAAACCATCGCTGAGCGCTATGCCAAAGAGGGTTGCCTTCTAGGGTGCTTCTTCTTTCTTCGAGGGGCTGGTGAACAGAGTCAGATATCTGCCTTGATTCCTACTCTTGCACATCAGGTCTCTCTTTCTGTTCCTGCTGTTCAGCCTTTGCTTGAGAAGGCTCTTCGAGATGAGCCGGCCTTGCTTGGGCCTTCTGTCTCTTTAGCTCATCAATTTCAGAAGCTAATCATAGAACCAATCCATTCCACCACTTCCAAAGTCCTCTCCAGTTTCAAAGTCTTCTCTCATCTTGCAAAGCAAAAGATCTTTGTTATTGATGCTCTTGATGAATGTAATGATAAGGCTGAAATGGCAGCCTTCATTGATGTGTTGCTCAATGCACTTCTGGGAGGGAACTATCTTCCTTTCCGAATACTCCTTACCAGCAGGGTGGAGGAGCACATTCGGAAAAAATTTGATCATTCTGAGGCTCAACTTCTGTACAGTCATCCACCCCTGAATGATACACCACCCCCATTTGATACACTTTTGTATACTTTATAGCTTCGCCAAATCATCATCGTTTTTTTAAAAACAAAATGTTCTGACTACACATACATACCAGCAATCCTTCCACAAAATTTCAAGTTGATTGAACAAGTTCTGGTTTCACAGTAAAATGTTCAAAAGTGGATGTTCCGTGGACTTTGCCGAAAATGCTCTCACCCTCCAATGATACACCCATATTTGATAAATTTCTACACAACAACACAACAGAATCTTCTGAAATTTGGAGGGGTGGATCATACTGATTAACAGAGAGTTACTGTACAGTTTTTATAGGGAATACATGCTGCTTAGAATTGAAAATTGAATTTAATGATTTCACTGTATCATTAAGGGGTGGATGACTGTACCATTTGGACTTGGAGAATTTTGATGCTCATTCAAACATTCAAGTATACTTCAAAAGGGAGTTTGCTTGTATCTTTGACCAGAATCATCGGATGATGCAGAGAATACCAAAGCCCTGGCCATCAGCTGAAGATCTTACTGTACTTCTTGATAAGGCTGGCAGTTCATTTGCATTTGCTATGACATTAATTCAGTATCTTGGAGGAGATTCCATGCCACACAAAGCATTGCAACAGCTTTTGGAATCTGGAGCTAATGGTCTGGATCCACTCTATAAACAAGTTCTTTCATCTGGTTCTGGGACAGAAGCTCTTTATCTGATTCTTGGAACAATCATGATTCTGGAGGACAACAAATCTATCTCTTTTCTTAGCTCCCTTCTCAATCTTCAGCATGAGGAGGTTATACATGAGCTACTGGGGGTACAGTCAATTATCAAAATTCCTGGAGATGATAATGAGCCCATTATGCTCTATCACACATCTCTTTGGGATTTTCTGACCCTCAAATCACGATCAGAGCAACATTTCATTGATCCTCCTCTGCGACACCTTCATCTGGCCATACACTGTTTGGAGCATCTGGCAAAATACCCTTCAAAAGACTTTTTTGATGGTGATGTGGCCAACTATGCTTGCTATAATTGGCCACAGCATATTCTGTTAGGATTTCAGAAGCAGCAATCAAATGTGGATGAAACAATCATGACCTCTTTGGTAACTCTCATAAAAACTTTACTGACTTTTCAGGGTAAGACATGGTATAATACCATGCTGACTTTTGGAAATCATAAGAGAGTAGGGATGTTACAGTCCATGAATAAGGCAAAGGATTTGTTTCAAGTTAGTAATTACAATTTTAAGATGGTCATCACACTCTAACATGTACAAGACATCACAGGGGTCAATTGCTACAAGAAATTTGACAGAGCTATATCAACAAGTTATTGATTTTTCTGGAGTAAGACTTTATAATATTGGAATATATTCACTGATTTATCAAGATCTTCCAACAGACAGTAAGTAACCAGAAAATAATACTGCTCAAAATTTAACCAGTAAGGTGAAAAGGAGGTATGTGTACCTATAAAGTATCAAAATAAAATATTGACCCATTTTACAGCATGTAAGCCAAGCCACAATGACATTTTATTGGTGTTGATAAAGCACAGGAAGTAAGAACAAAACAATTACCCAGCAAAGCAGAGTTTTATTTTTGTTTTTGTTTTTTCTTGCAGAATGTACATCTTCAAATTGTTCAAGTTTTAATATATTCTAATAGTTCTCATTAGTTTGTGGGCAATTATTTTGCATGATACATCACATCTTATCATCAGCTATCTATTTATTTCAGCAAGTAAGTAATAACTGTTGATCATGCTACTTATACAGCTAATATGCTTGTGTATAAATCCAGGCAGTGAGATGTCATCTATTCACAATGTCTATGTATGCCTATAACAGATTTTTTTAGTGGGTAAGTAATTATGATTTCTTTTTTTCTGACTGAATTCTGTGCTGAACTCACCACTTTTAGGGGGTATGATGTTTCCCTATTGATTATTCCCTCTTCTGGTGACTCATTCTCTTGCCTTCCTTTTTTCATGCACTGTTCTGGTGATCATGATGTGCTTTGACATGTTTTAGAAAGTATGATGTCTGGCTTTCATATTTTTTGCACACTTCTAAAACATACAATTTGGCCATGTGTTTTTTTAGAGGGTGAGTTAGTATTCCTTTCACAATGTACTCTTCTGGTGACACAGACTGTGGCCTGTCTTTTTCAGATTGTGAGTTGGCCTGGTTTTCAATGTGCACTCTTCTGGTGACACTGTGGCCTGTCTTTCTTTCAGGAGGTGAGTTGGCCTGGTTTTTAATGTGCACCCTTCTGGTGACACAGACTGTGGCCTCTCTTGTTTCAGAAAGTGAGTTGGCCTAGTTTTTAATGTGGTGACACTGTGGCCTGTCTTGTTTCAGGATGTGAGTTGGCCTGGTTTTTAATGTGCACTCTTCTGGTGACACTGTGGCCTGTCTTGTTTTAGTATGTGAGTTGGTCTGGTTTTTAATGTGCACTCTTCTGGTGACACAGACTGTGGCCTGTCTTGTTTCAGTATGTAAGTTGGCCTGGCTTTTGATGTGCACTCTTCTGGTGACACAGACTGTGGCCTGTCTTGTTTCAGAGGGTGAGTTGGCCTAGTTTTTAATGTGCACTCTTCTGGTGACACAGACTGTGGCCTGTCTTGTTTCAGGGGGTGAGTTTGCCTAGTTTTTAATGTGCACTCTTCTGGTGACACAGACTGTGGCCTGCCTTGTTTCAGGGGGTGAGTCAGCCTGGTTTTTAAAGTGCACTCCTGTGGTAATACATATTTTGGCACTTCTTTCTCAGACAGTAAGCTGCTTTGCCTTTGGTCATGAATTACTGTTCTCACACATATCTGTCTTCATGTTTTTTAGTATGTAAGTTATTTGTTCTTCACTGTATATTTTTTGAGCAATCTGTTTTTGGCATTTCCTTTTTAGCATGTGAGTTGCTTATATTCTTATCCTAATCTAATCTACTCACTTTGTTCTTGCACTCATTCTTTTCATTTATAGAAAGTATGTCTGCACTTCTCTATGTCTTGTGAGTGTTATTTGGTAGCTTTCATTTTTAATCTACATGTTTTTAAACATTATTTTTTATCAGATGATTAATCTCCAATCAATATCTTCCAGCATGTTAGTTGGATTTCAGCACCCCATGGGCCACTTTTATGACATCTTTGTGTTTCCTTTCTTCAGGATGTGGGTTATTCATTTATTCTCATTTCCATTACCCTGATATGTGCTTTTTTAAACTCAGATTGTATGTTTTTATTTTCTATTACACAATAATGCTGATGTTTTGTAGCTTGTATGTATTTAATCCAGATTCTAGCACTTTCCCCTTTCAATCATTCTTTTTATTAGAAAGTATGTATTTATTTCTTAACATTATTTAACTGGGTCACTCATTTCAGAATATAGTGAGCAAGTCAACTCCATTTTATATTGTCTTAGAATCTTTGGTGTCATAAAATTCTCCAATTTTTAGAGGGTATGCTTTGTTTCTTGCTGTCAATGCTCACTGAATATTCATCTTCAAAATGTATAGAAAGATGCAGAGCTATCCAAATTTTAATCATCCTGTTTCTTTGCAAAATGTCAAATTTTGTATGTGTCGTTATCTGCTCTATTTCTTCTTGTTCATCTCTATTCCCCTCAGGTTGATACATCCTCCATAACTGTGATTCCTCTAACATCTCTATGATTGAGTTATGCATACACTGAGAAGAAACAAAATCTTGGATTGCTCAGTTCAGTTTCTGCCTCTTGAGGTGTAGATGAAGTATGAATTGCTGAGGTATTACTTATTTAAACAACCTAGCTCTAAAGTCAATGGATTTCACAACACTGTTGCAATCTTGGGATTACTACATCAGGTTGTTGGTTGGTTGTTTGGCATCACTGTCTACTCTATTTGGACTTCCCCACTCATGCAATGTTTTACAGAAAGTTACTGGAGCCTGAACCTGAACCTGAACTCGAACTGAACTTTGCATTTGGTTCAGAGGTTTGGGTGCAAACCAAAGTTCTGGACCGAACTTCAGCAACACTAGCTATGTCCTCCACCATCAATTCTCTTATAATCTATTTAGTGTCCTTTCCTTTGCCTTTCCTGATCCATAGTTCATTGGTAAATCTTACACTGCTAATTCCATGAGTACAGAAAGTGTTCAAAAAAAAAGTATATATAGGAAGTACTCCTATACCTCACAGCACTAACTTCTTTTTTCTAACTTGTTACAAGGGGGTGGTGGAATGTGGATTTTGCATATACAGTCCCAAAAAAAATTAGGACACCCTTGACATACCCCCCCCCCCCCATAAAAGGAAATTTTCCAAGTTCCTATGTCAAAAACATGAAATTTTCGAGTTTCTACATGTGACGGTGCTTCACATCCATAGCCACATAGGTCTAACACACCCAGACTTCATTCCACAGCTAACCTTGTTGCTGCTGTGGCGAATTCAAAATTGTGTGCATACTTGGCAGGTGACGGAAATCGGGAAGCTGAACACAGGGCACACAAACATCTAGAAAGCCTGAATGTGTTGTTAGCATACAACCTCCTGAAAGGGGTGGACATGGGGTACGTACTGAATACAGCGTTGATACAGTGTGCAGCTTCAGGCATTGAAAAAAAAGTTTGTTGAAAGTTTGTTGATTTTTTGGTTCTCAGTCACAATTTCGGACAGTCAGTATGTAAATTAGTTGTTTGTCGTACATCTGAACTTTTCAACTTCTTTTGTGAGCATTATTTGGGCTTTGGAAGGACTTTTCTAAAGTAGGTCCCAAAAAAAAATTTGACCCCCAAGCGGACCACCCCCCTAACCCTATATGTGGGATCCATGTTCCGCCACCCCCTTGACTTGTTATAAAATTTGAATGAAGTCTAGCAGCATCTAAACAGGTATAATTTTCAACACATTACCCATGAAATAGCAACACACTCCCTAAAATATGTCGTTTATCTACCCAATGTGTTGTTTACTTGTCCAATGTGTTGCTGTCCCAATTTGGGGAGTGTGACGATGTTGGTACGCCCTGGCAGATAATGTCAGCCTCAATCTCTCTTTTTTGGTGCAATATATTGTCAAAGTTTTTTGAAGGAAGTGTGTGATGTACTTATGACTATCTACAGGCCAATTTTGGTTAATGTAGGTGTAGTATCCATTGAGAAACACCTCATGTCCAAAATCTCGGACTTTGCCAGGCAGATAATTACCCAGCACAATGATCGGTAAGCCGTATCGAAGTTCTCATATACATGGGTGAGATATATATGAAAGGCTTGTATGTACAGTAAGGGAGCGTGAACAGATAATGGTGATGTATGGTACCATATATATGCTAAGAGTCAAGGTAGTGTGGTCTATGAGGGGAAGCAAAGAAGAAAACATCAAGAGGAAACAGGAAAAAGAAAAAGAGACCAACAATCAAGCCGTCCAAGTGATAAGAAGCAGAGGAATAGGCTTTCTCCTCAGCCCTTGCTACTGCTACTCAACGCACTATCATCGCTCCCCACATCACTAATCGTAGGCGTAACCCACCCCCTTCTCCTCCGTCCCCATGGTCATAACTAATAATCATGACGTCCATATCCACGGGGGCTCCTCGTCATCATCGTGGAAGGACTCTTCGCTGCGTATGAGGTACGACTGGGGGCTCTTCATCGACGTCGGCGTCTGAGGAACCTTAGAGTTCTTACTCCCCCGATTCACCACCTCCAAAGTACAAACTCAATTTGGCGGAAGGACCACGTTCCTCGCGAATCGAGCCGATCGTCAAAGAGGACCATTTCGATTTCAGCATTGGGCTTGGCAAAGGCGAGAGGTTGTCAAAGGAGGGCTGCATAGAAGCACGTGGTCAGAGTTCTTCAAGGCCGTTGGCGATGTTAGTTGCCAAGTTGACGTTGGGGCTCGAAGGGAAGAGAGGGGGAGCATCATCGGATACCCAGTCTCCCCTCCCACGTGCACGTCCACGTCGAATCGAAAGTCGTCCGATTCAGACGAAAATGAACAGGCGGTCCTCAAGTCCAGATCATCCCCGTAAAGGGGAGAACACAGAGGACTGGTCGTCGTTTCGAAGACGCAGTCTGCAGGGATGCTTGAGCGTGGAGGTGGTCTGCGAGATGAAGGCGAGGCTGAGGCTGGGGTGTGCGGTACGCGGGAGTGGAAAGAGGTGGGGGAGGTGGGGAAGGGTGACGAGCGGTGTTCATTTCACTAGAAGAAGAGGAGAGGATGGAAGAAGAGGCAGATAAGGAGCGGACGAGCGTTGGGAAAGGTTTTGGTTGGTGGTTCAGTATATAACTTCTTCTGCTTTGTCGTTTGCCAGCAGGAGGGAAAGTGGAGGAGAGTGGGAAACGTGTGAGTGGGAGCCATTTCGAGTAGCGCATTGAGTGGCGAGGGACGAACATTAACTCAGGTGTGAGTGGTGGGGAGGGGAGAGGGGAGGGTGAGAATTTGAGATTCTCGCGTATACCATTCTAAGTGGGATTCGCCTTGCCGTCGTCAGTTTCGTAAAACGAGTCCTCGGATGAGGATGAGGGAGGAGAGTGGAATGGATCTTCCCATGGAATTCTTAAACGGCCAGAGGGGTGATGCGGAACTGAGGCACTTGCTGCCGTTTAACGGGGACGTTGACGACGAACCATTGTGCTTGGTAATGACAAGCGGCTTACTGGCTGCTGGGCAGGCATTGAACCACAGCGACGGGAGCGCGAACTCGTCGTCTGACGTCGATGGCGTTGGCGGCGGAGTTCCAAACTGCGCAGAAGCTGAAGGTGAGATGGATGATGTGGAAGACGCATGAACGAAGTACAGAGGGAGTTGGGATGGATGGGTGCAGGAATTTGTAAGAAGCATCTATGAATCTCAGCCTGAACGAGTCAGGGGACGGCACTGGACTGGGAGTAGTAGGTGGACGATGGGCATGTTGGGGTATGGATAGAAAGAGGCCGTTTTGAGTAAAGATGTCGTCGAGTCCGAGGGAAAGGTGTGACCAACCCTTCTGATAGCATCGCCATCCCATCTCAAGTGCCTGTATGCGTGCAAAACCACTTCAAACCGCACACCTTGCGCGCATTCACTCGTTCCTCCCCTCTCTCCATTGCCAAACCCATGAACTCGGTCGTCCACGTCAGCGACATCTTTCCCTTCAAGCTGGTCGTGAGGGATTCGTATAGGCTTGAGAGACATGAAGGAAGGTTAACTTTAAGGAGAATTCGGAGCTCCAAGGGAGGGCTGATAGAGGACGTTTGGTAGATCCGCATCTGTGAAAAGAGGGTGGATGAGGCTAGAAGGGAAAGGGAAAAGGGTAGGATTACCTGTGATATAGATGTAGACGTTGGGACACTAGCCCACCTACAAATTCCGGCGTATCAGAGGAGCAGTATGCGTGAATCTGTGATGGTGGTATGTTCTTGTAAGAACTGGGAAAGGATAGCTAACGGAAGGGGACAAACCTTGGACTGTTTCAGACCCCCTCCTTTGCAATCCGCTACGCGTCGTCCTCCGCCTCATGGGTACGTATCATCAGTGGGTTCCCCAGTCTAACGACGTGTTTGAGTTGCCGTCCGAACATCATTTGTTGCATGTCGGATACTTGTTGTAGTAGTGATCGAAACCACGCTATTTCCCTGAATACGACGCGTGTAAGGTCATGGCTTCTAGGGGGCTAGGGTCAGAGACAAAGGAGGTAACGTACGTGTCGTTTTCTACGGAAATGATGTCGTCAGCCAGCTCCTAGTGCGAGATCAGGCAGTGGTATACGGTATAGCCAACAGATCAACAACTTGAATAGAATCAGTACTCGTTGTTGATATGCACCAAACCCAAGTACTCACCCAAATGGAACCAAGACGCAATCCCACACCATCTCTCCTCCGTCCTCTCTTCAGCTACCGTCGAATCCGCGAGTTTCTTCCAGAGTTCCTTGGCAAGCGCTTTGCGCTATAGGGCTAGGAGGTGTTCTTCGAATCCAGGGTGTTGAAACTGACAAACTGTTCTCCCCCCATTTTTCGACGTGTTTTGACGGGTTTTTTCAACTGATAGCACTGTAGTGATTCAAAGGGGTTGTTGAGGGGCTTTGAGAGGAGTTTTTCGACTCGTTTTGCGAGTTTTCGTGGGTTTGGAAGACAGACGGGCGTTGGTAGGTGATGGGTGTTTGAATATAATTGGCACCGTTCCCCTTTCACCTCGTTCTCAAGCAAGTACGGAGTCCCAGTAATATACAGAGATAAAATGTGA